ACTACAGCGCACGGAAACACGGAAAATTATTGCAATATATGAATACACAACACACCCGTGTTCAATAGCAAGCAAAACGAGAATGAAGAAGAATCACGCATGCACCGAGTGGGTTGTTTACTTATAGAAGATTACCATTAGATGGTGTTGGAGTAATGTAAGTGCGTTAAGTCCCTTTATGCCCTAAACCATTTGTGGATAATTTGTTTAAGTTCAAAAGAATGCATGCTGGTAAAATTTCCATACGTTATCGGTCTGCCTGTTTGTCATACTTTCATTATTTACGTGAGTACTCAATTTAGCTTACCGTATTTCTGTGTAACCAAAACCGAAGCTCACTGTAAAATAGTAATTGTAACCTTGTGCTCCGATTGTGTCAGTGCTTATGAGGTTACAAGATCAATATTTCCTTCACCGTTGCTGCGTGTCTCACCCTAATCTGTCTTTTGTGAACTGCTTTCTCTGGCAAATGTTTATTTAATGACCGTTGGCATAAATGGCGATGATTTTGGCATTTTTCTGAGATATTCACAATCACTTTTCGGGTATCACAAGAACCCAGCAAAGTAAATTGTTCTGAATTATTGCAAATATACCTTCTAATGTTTGCGAATTTGCCATCATGATTCGTGAATTAAAAATTAAACTATTTACAGTTCAAATTGAGATTCTACGTCACGGAACGACATTTTTAACTCAGACAGGTATGAATCTTAGGCGTACTGTAAAAGCTACTTTCAAATTCGTGATTGCTTATTCTGATGCTGTTTCCAGGCCGTTGAAAACTCTCTTAAGTCGCTGGATGGTCGGCTGGCTCAACAGAACTCGCTTGGTCACTACCACAAAAGAACCAACGCTGAGCTGATAAACGGAATCTTAGGCATCCTGTTGGACAAGCTCACAAAAGCCGGATAAAATTTTATTGTTTGTCGTTGACCGTGCGTTGTGCGTCGTTTGACAACTAAATGGACGTTTTATTTACTCAGCATGGACTACGATAATGACAAATGTCACCCACTGTTTAGAACAATAACACAAACATGACAATCTGAGAGACGCTATTGCTATCACGTCCGATTCCCCGGACGGTAAGAATAAAATTGGATTGACGATTGGGTTCTCTCATTAAATTCACCAGCCATCGTCAGAATCGTCTGCTTTTCCTGTGCATGAGATAGCTGTTCTCGGCTTAGAGACGAGGCGACGTAGTAAAATCGCTTCATCACGTTTTCTTTGGAATTTAATAAGGTAAACACTGCGTGAATACCATTTACGCTTCGTTGGCAGTGGTATCGAGCGGTCCAGTTCTTCGAACAATTTTTTTTATGTCTGAATCAGCGTCGAGTAGCGATGCTTAACACAGTTAAAACTGGACCATTTCGCCTACTTTCTTTTGCTGATTTCCTCCCTGGAGAGGTCCAGAATTGCTCTTCAAGATGCAGTGGTTGTTTCAATTTAATAGATTCATTCACTTTCTCGTGCAATATTTTGTCCAGTTCAAGCACGTTGAAGAATTTTTAGGGATGGCTGTCTTCTAAGCCATTCATTATGCCAGTTGGCGCAAGGCCGGAACATTCCAGTAAGGAAAAGAAGTATCTCACCTCACATCCGAACTCATTTGATTGAGAATAAGTCAGAAGAAAAGTTACACAGTCATTCGATTATTTTTCAAGACCTTTTCTTTTTCAATCCTCGGCCATGCCACACTTATCCAAACCAAATTCCACCCTGATATCTTCTAAAGAAAGTTCGTGCCTTTTGCATAAAAATATCTAGCTGTTTGACATTTAAAGTTGGATTATTCAGTTAAGCGTTTGTGATGAATTCCGCTTAGTTTGCACCTTGCAGCTGCCACAGTCATTTCATATAAAACTAAATGGCACCTAATGTTCTGTTCCTCGGAAAGCCCAGTTTAATCAATTCTTTTAAATAATCATACAGTTTGAATAATCATGTCTTCGAGAGAAAAAATTAATGATTAACTTGATCTCATACAACAAATACTCAGGTTGTCATTCTCCATTGGAGTAGGGTCTAAAACGACTTGTAACATAGGCTTATTCATGTTTCTAGTGAGATGATGCAAAGCATAGTCACTACAGTTTGAGAAACCATTTCCATGTGACCAGATTTCATTCCACTGACTTTATATGCCTTGTTTTCTGAATGGCATTTATAGCACACTGATAGCATGAAAACGAATATTGTTCCCCATAACTAAGGCAAAATATGTGACCATCATCTGGCCATCGTGAAAGGTCAAAGATATACGTCCAAAGCAATTGACAATCAGGCTTCATTCCGCCTGATATCTCACGTACGTACATGCAATACATATGATCCGCAGCGGTAGCTTTCCGGTTAGTCCTATATTTTCGAAAGTAAACAAGCCAATGAGGCAATAATTCCAGCTGGCGTGATCACGCTTGTTTTCTTCCTTGTGCTCGTTACATTAGCACATCCGGAAATAACATGGCACCCCAGAGCGTTGAGCGCATAAACGCGAGTACGCGAAAGCTGAACTCATGCTTCCGACCAGAAAATGTAAATTGAAGATATTGAATATCGGTAGTACGTGGCTTCCATAACGTAGTTTACGCTCGTATCCGCTAACCTTCTCCTGTGGAACAAACACAAATTAGACAGAGATGTTCCTTTTCAAAGGAAGCCAGATTCTACCATACGGTGGAAATCTGGGTTGAAAGCGGACATTTATTATTTAGGCGACTGACGTCATTGTTATGCTGTCAGCGTCTTGTAGAAGGGGCAGAGAAAATTGCTTGCCAGAACAACGGTCAAAATCACCATGCTGCAATCGATGGTCAAGAGTTTCGCCCTCATATTTCAGAGCAGTTTGCTGAACGATTTGATGATCAATTCTAGCGCTCATTTGTCGGTAATGATGAAGGATAGGTCAGAAAACTTTTGAAACAAAGAGTTAATAGTGCAGATTTCAATGTAAGTATTTGCCAGGATATGCAGAAAAGAATTGACAAACGAATCAGTCGCTTCGTCAACGACTGATGCATTATATGAAGGTGTAGTGATTTTTCAGCACCTTGTGTATTGTAGGTATGTTAGGATCGGAAAAAGAAAACTTTGATTTGATTAACTGTCAATCTCCATGTACGCGCCGCCCAAAAACGGATTGCAAGACAATATCCAAAGAACAGTTTCTAAGACTATGTGGTTCGGTCACTCCAGAATTTGAGGAACCGAGGTCGTGTTCAGTGCATCCGCATTAAACGACCACAACGTTTCTTGAATGTGAATAAGGTTCAAGTCTTTTATATGCAGAGATAGTTCTTCATCATCAGACAGCGCGGTTTCGACTGAAGCAGAAATGTCATGTAACTTGTTGGATTACCCAAACCTCCCTTCCGTCACTCAGTCAGTCTCCTAGTTAATTAATTTATCGCTGGCGAGGCTAGCAACAGGTTTTTGACCACAATTAGAATTGGAATACCAAATGCATTCGTCTAGACTCTTATACGAATCACCTTGCCCAAGCAGATCCGTAATTAAGAAGCAACCCAATGCCATAACCGTCAGTTTACTTGTTGATTAGACGTAACGGTCTAAATACTGAACGCAGTTTTGATGAAAATTATGAATGTCGATGACAATGAGGCTGAATGCACCCTCGCAAACCAAACAAGGTAAAAATTGCAAATTAAGACTTACGAAGGGAAGACAGTCGAATATTATATTAGACATGATCGAGAATGTCGAACAGTTCGCTGTCTGATCAGCGTTCGCAAAGCGTACAGCAAGTAGCACATTGACTTCCTACAGTCGATAAATAACGGTACCTTCCCAGACCTGTCGTCCCCAGTGTTCATCTTCCGACTCAAAAAGTTATGCTGCGGTAATTTTCATGTCACGTGATTTTGCCC